CGTTCGCTAGAAAGCGGAATATTCCTACAGCTAGTTTATTCCGCCTGATGAGGCGGAATTGATTATCTGTAAGATGCTCTGACTAATACACTCAGTAAAATAGAATATTTTTATTAGATGCTCTAATGACCTGTGGTGTAATCGTGACAGCACCTGACTTCAGTACCAGAGGCTCTAAAGTTTAAATTCAGCCGTCGGAACATGTTTAACATAATAATGCGTAGCCATTTTATGGCTATATCCCACGGAAATCATCTATTTATAATGTAGTACGTTTTGATACGAAGGCTCAACAACGTTATAACATACTTAATATTGGCACAAACCCGTACCTTCCCAGGAGTTTCGAGGCCCAAGCACTCGAACTTCTGATCATACACATCAGACTCTGGAGCTTTGCGGACACGCAGCGCCACCTGCCGACGCTGTTTTCGGTAGTGCAAATCCCGACACCATTGTACAGTTTGCTGCACTACCAGATGCAACTACAGCGTAAGAAACAATGATTGAGCTAAATATCAGACGTATTTGCGCATTGAACACTTAGAAAAAGAGCTACGAATTTCTCTCTGATTGTCGGACGCGTCACTGAACCGCCCTAAAGTGTCGGTCGGTTCACTCGCCAGAACAACTGAGAAAACAAGATCAGACGCAACGGCTCCATGCTCTACGAAAAATACCCCAGTGGACGCTACTGTTGAGTTTTGAAGGGCAACGGACTAAATGACTTCAGTTTTACTGATTTCCGCAGCTTTCGCCAAGCAGAACGGTGAGGGGGCTGGATACGGGCCGTTGCGAACGTGTTGAGCAAGTGAATTACTCCCATTCTTCACAGCCGTTCGCATGAGAATGTCTGACAATATAGGTCTCTTGTTAATGTTTTGAGTAGCTTTGACGGAAAACTGAGGTAACTTTGATTAGGAAGCTTAACAGAGCCTCTGACTGTAGTGCGCGCCTTGCAGCAGTAAACAGGGGATTCGCGCGATAAACATAGCACAGGCCACGACCACCGATATACTAAAGTGGCAGAGCATAACGCACGTATACGGTTTTGAAGGGTCAAAGTTCTGGCTTTAACTGCACAAACACGAACACGTACGTCATACAGGTAAATCTCAAGATTATCGGGACCACAATCAGTTTTTCTCTTGCCATTGGTCTCCGCGATTGCCGGAGCTATCTCAGAGGACTCGGTTTTGCCTTTCGTAATACACTGAGAAAGTGGACACGGATGTATCCCCGTTTACAGTGTATCCAAACGGATGACAACAGTGAACAGAGCATTCTGGCATGCGAAATAAAAGTGTTCAACGCACAGGAAGCGAGAGATCGATAGAAAATGGAACTGCAAAGGCCAAAATCGCGGACTGTTTGTGCCGAATAAAGCGAGCTTCCTATACCACTGGTCGTGAAATGAATTGCTCGTGTATGCAATCAATCGCTTTGTAATCTTGTGTATGCCCACGTTTAACGCATTTAGGCGTAACAAACGCACGTGGGAGTGTTTGCCTCAAACTCGATGTCATTCAATGCTCGCTTACACTTAAATTGCTATAGCTAAAGTACGCCGAAATAACTGAAACATCTTTCACATTGTACCCGATGTTCGTTTTAATGAGCTTCCTACTTTTCTGATGCGAGGTTAGATTGCAGGAAGGAGCTTGCCAGGTTCATGATTTTCAGGAAACCACGCCTCAAGAACAGCGAAAGAGGAGGGCCTATGCACGTTGGCTTGCGGACGGCTCGCTTTGCACTACCCATTTATGGCGGGTGTGTTGATGGGGGCGCTGGTGGCGGCGTTTTTCATAGCGCCACCTGGGCAGAGTATGACTTCTATATGCAAATATAAGTAGAAAGAAAATGGAAAATTTCGCCTGTGGTAACGCTCAAACCTACGATTTCATGCTCGGCTTCCATGTGCTTGTCGGTGCAAATGTAGTGCTTTCAAAATATTGTGCGACTAAATCTAACCACACGAGTGCCCTCGCATTTCAATCCTATTGAAGTACGACCTTCATGACAGGGAATCGAACCAACATTATGGATCTTCGTAGCGCAAGGTTTTAGCCCCTATAAGCTACCAGGCGTCATGCGTTCCTCAAGCTTAGAATATTTAGTCCAAATAACGATGGGTGTAAAATGATAACTATAGCGGTCTTATATAATAATATGGACAGAAATAGCTGATCCAGCCACCTTTAACGCTGAGTGCCAATTAGAAGTTTCCCAAAGATAATCGTAACTCAAAAAGCGGGAATGCGCCTTCACATTGGATTTAATATTTGCTTTTGTACCATCTGACGTAATGCATGTTCATTCCTAAAGGAAGAAATCAACAGCATTAAAAAGGTTGTAAATATGTTTACGTAACTTGTGTAGTTCTAATGATATCTTGAAACTCGGGCGCATGCAGGTCAACTTTAGTTCTTTCCCGCTTGCCTCGTTGTCACCCCGGAGTTGTGAATTAATTACTGCCAATTGGCCGAACTTTCAGTACTTCCTTGCATTGCCTTTTCTTTTCCTTTTTTAATGTCTTTTGCCAGGGAGGGCTCCACTACACGTTGCCTTAGTATCGCCACCACTCCCAAATCACTCGCTGCTAATAAATTCAGATTAGTAGCTGTTTTATTTTTGTTCGTTACCTCTACGTTTGCATCGTATCTCAAAGTTCAATGCTAACGTGATAGCGTCGAAAAGATCGTTTCACAGAACTTCTGGTGTCGGTGTCATTGGTTGTGAGTGAAAAATCATCTCTTGTCCGGGACAAAAAAAATTGAAAAAGATGTACAAATAGAATAAGTAATAAAAGTTTTCGGTGCGATTGAGGTTCAAACCCAGGCTATCTGCGTAATATTCCGGTGTTCTACGACAAAGCCGCACTGTTTCTTGAAAATGCTTCGGAAAAGAACATTACATGAATGCTATGCAGCGGAGGGACTCGTTTTAGCGCATGTAATATTGCAAGGCACAAGCGTATACATTCCCACAAGGCGTCAAAGCGTGTGGATTGCGCAACGAGTGGATCTTTTGAAAGCCCACTCATTTCGAGGTGGTTAGGCTTATTTAATCATTATCAACAGCAAGAACTTCAACAAAGCGAACAGCCTCGTAGCTTCGCCTTTTGCTTTACGGACGCATAGCAGGCTTTTCGCTGCTTAGCAAAAATGAATAATTATGGCGTAGTGGACACTTGGCAACTGAACTTGCAGTAGAAGCGTCCTAAGATACTTTAAAACGGCTAATGTTACGCTCACAGTACCCTTCTTTGTGGCATGTTTGAGGAATGCATCAAGAACCGAAGCTAGGCTAGGTATTCAGAAGGCGACGTGCACGAGACCTGATTAGGCCCTCGCGTTTAACTAATGCAGGGTGTTTCCTCCAGCATCCTCCAACTATTTTGTTGGCGACTACGAGTTATAATTCAGCTACTTTTACCTTGAGGGCGTCTAGGTTGACCTAGGCTCAATTTCTGTTTTCTGTTTTCAAAGTGACAATGCGTCCTCGACATCACTAACCCTATATGACCAGTGCCTTCACCCTGCCAAGTGCTCATAAGAGCATGCGCTGTATGGTCGGTACAGTGTGTCTCTGCGATTGAATGAAAATGGAGCAAAGGCTTTTAGTCAGGCTTTCAGCCTTTTGCCTTCGCTCCATTTTCTGTACTGGCACAGAAAGAAAGAAACAAAGAAAGAAAGAAAGAAAGAAAGAAAGAAAGAAAGAAAGAAAGAAAGAAAGAAAGAAAGAAAAAAAGAAAGAAAGAAAGAAAGAAAGTGTTCATTATTCGAAGTCAGTTCCCATCCGCAAGTTCTTTAGCTTTTCACTCATACTATTATTACAGCTAATGCTGTAGCTGCCGAATACCCGCTTCTAGGTTTCCACCTTTTCCGTCTCTTTTGCAAGAAGGGAACGCCACAAATACTGTACACTGAGCTCGCAGCTTCCTCATTGCTAGTTTGATAACTTATTGCAACGGTTACATTCATTCCTCATCATTATGGAATGTTTCATAACAGGCTTCTACAACTGATGTTAATCTATACGTCCTATTAATTTTCACTATGACAACTTCTTCAAACTTCATTAATACTGCAGAAGTAAGCAGATATGTCCACAATGTTTTATGTACAAGATGTTTCTTCTATTTGGAACAAACCCATATTACAAGAGATTACCATCAATCCACATTCACGAGCCATTATATTATTCATATAAAAGCACTGTTATTACATGTAACACCTAATGAAAAGCATCAGAGGTAACGGGCAGCATTACGAGGGTTCCTTCGTGATCAAGTAGCTGCTGAAATTTGTACTTCTTTACGTCATTGATGAAATTCATGCTCACTTCCGCGGCCATTGGAGTGGTGGTAGCGGTATACCGAATAAATAACCAGGAGCCTGGCACAATAAGTAGTGCAACACACGCGGTACCCGAAGGTCGTGACGTGAATTCCCCCGGATGGTAAGCTGAAATTTGTGAACTGCTTTCATTACCTCACGATTGGGCGTTTGTTTGCACCGAATAAAATGAAAGTAACCTTATTTACGTGTTTCTGGCCTTCGTGCACCGTTGGCTTTGTATGACTGGCAATAACTAAAGAAATAGCGCCCCTCTATCTTCCTTCTTGCTGGCTGTCATCTCTCTTTCTGTGTCTCTGAATATATATATATATATATATATATATATATATATATATATATCCAATCCTGACGAAGGCCGTGCCACGGCCGAAACGTAGAGTAAACAATTATCAAATTTTCGTAAGTGTGCTCCTTTATTCTTAATTATATATATATATATATATATATATATATATATATATATATATATATATATATATATATATATATATATATATATATATATATATTTATATGGGGGGGAAGGGGAGAGCTTATAACGTGCTTTAGAGGGCCGTGAATTCACTTTTTCACGTATACGCTTCGCTGGCCTCGAGATGCTAAACAAAATTCTTTTTTTCTTTTTGTTCTTTCTTGCAGTACCTGCGCCTTCGATACGGCAACAAAGTGGGCCTAGGTGCTTGCCTCATCTATTTATTTCTCAGCGTAAGTACACTAAACAGGAAACCAACGGAACGTGTAAGCTCCATGCCTGAGCGCAATGCTTCGATCGGATGTCTGCGAATGGCCGTTCTCTAACGGCTCCAATCAAGAAGCGCTGTTTACAGCCAAGCAGCTTATGGCTAGGTTCCGGCACATTGCGTCCGCGAGCAAACTAAGCGTAGAAGAACAATTACAAGTGTAGCGATACTCGGTAGTGGCACTTCCCACCAATCATCGTGCCCTTTTGTCTCGTGACGTAGAGATCCGTGCTATCTCTGAAATCTTCGTCTGTCCTTTGAACTGGCTATAGGACGAACTCAGGTATCTCGCTTAAAGGAAGTACAAGGGAAATCGGAGGACAGCGATGAGGCAAAGAGGCAGAATGGGCGCGAAAACTATATGGAGTCGCAGCCACTGGATTTGCTGGCTTGTACCTTCACAGTAATGAGAGGGCTATGTACTTTTGTCATAGCAACAACAGCTGTTGCTATATGACAGTGCGTTTCCTCATACAATGATGCGCCTCGCTAAAAACGAGCAGTCTGCGTCTAGTAAAACTTGTCACAGAATAGAACTCGGCCTAGCTAAGCGAAAAATCTGTTTATCTGTTCTTTTTACAGCGTACGTTTTATCCTTCACAAGTCACAGCACGTGCCATTCTGCTTAAATAGCGTTTCAACAAAGCACCAGACGTTGACCTTCATAGGAATGTCAACTGTCTGGCTCATAAGGTCAATCAGTACACAGGAGGCATTATGTATATTGCCTAATTGGACTTTATTAATCATGACGTAAAGCAAAATGAAGGAAAGTGCCGGCAATAAAACAAACGAAAATTGATCGCTCCATCATAAGAATCAGTATACCACGAAAGTGAATCGTGTCTTCACAGAAGTCATTGACTGATTATTGTAAATTGATGTATGATTGCTTGCAGAATGCCTATTCGGGTTTGACAGCTTTTGTACCGTTTGACATGGATGCAATCCCATCGTAGCCTGGTAGCGCAACTCCATCCCGACTAATATCATCCACGGCCCCGCCGTGGTGGTCTAGTGTCCAAGGTACTCGGCTGCTGAACCGCAGGTCGCGGGTTCAAATCCCGGCGGCGGCGGCTGCATTTCCGATCGAGTGGGAAATGTTGTAGGCCCGTGTGCACAGATTTGGGTGCACGTTAAAGAACCCCAGGTGGTCGAAATTTTCGGAGCCCTCCACTACGGCGTCTTTCATATTCATATAGTGGTTTTGGGACGTTAAAACCCACATATTAATCAATCAATCATATCATCCACGATCTTGACTTAATCCTGGTGATAGCCTAAGTAGTTCATATATATCCGGACACATTCCCCGCTGAATTACCCGCAAAAATGGCATCAGCGAGCAATTAACGAAGGCTTGTCCTCTGTATGCACTGATTCAAAGTGCCATCTGTCGAGACAAAAGCCAAGGTGGCCATTTCACAGCAGGGTTGTGGGAAGAAATGTTTTTCGAGGGTGGGGGAGCCTTGCACTGGTAATTTTTTGCTGTGAATGTCATGACGAAAAAAAAATCTGAGTACGCCACTGCTTCGCAGTAATTAGGTAACCTGCTCTTCTACTCATACATACACTAACACACAGCGCTACTGGAAGGTGAAAGGCAAAGCTCATAGCTTGAGCCGTGAGCTCGGCAAGGCGTTCCGCTTACTGCTGTCATTTTATTTGCTTTACTGACAAACTCACTACCCGACATTCACCCGACGGCATCATTTCCTTTCTGTACCGCTTATTTAAGCAGTTTTATTAGCCAGTGCTTTTGCACTCTAAGCTGTAGGTGGCAGGATAACACCGTTGGTGCAACCGGAAGCTGCACAATTCTGTCGACGAGTCGTCACGTAAGCACAACGTGAAAGGCAAAGCATGCATCACAGTAAAAATTTTTACACCCAGAAGGGTGTAAATGAGCTTGTCCCGTGGACGACACCCTAAGGGTGTTAATTCAGCACCTTCCAAAAAGGGTGCTTTTTCATGCACCCTTAGAATAGGGTGTACATGTAAAAAAACTGTAGGGTGTTACAAAAACACCCTTAAGAAAGGGTGCCTTCGATGTCCATCACTTTTTTAGCACCCTCTGAGGAGGGTGCGAGAAGGGTGCACAAGGGTGTTGAGTGCCCATGGCAGGGGTGCCAGTATTCTCTTAGACTACACTAATAGATATCAGCATGCACTGATTACACACTACTTGAAGAAAGTGGTCCTGATTATCAATGGTGCGCCACCTGTCGAGCTCCATTCATTGCGTCTGGGCAAAAATATAAACGCGTACTATCGTGTATGAACTTGTGCTGGATCTATATATACTTCACAGTATATGCATAATGCGCATTACAGAAAATGAAGCCTTGCTGCCCTTGCATATTGCGTTTATTTAATAGGCAAATAAAACATAAACTTTTCTTCTGCCACACAACTTTTTCACCAGATATACGTTCACGTATACGTACACTACACATGCAACACCTCAAATGTTTATTATATTTATTCAGTTTCACTTCATTGACAATTCTTTGCAACATACAATTACACTGGTTTCAGTTTAGTATACTACTTCAAGTACATAGAGACTACAAATAAAATATACGCTAATATATCCCTATATCTCTTTCAAGTATCTACAATCCCAGTGGTTTCCAGTTTAATACTCCTTCATGTACACAATCGGTTAATAGGAATGAAATACAGGCAAATATATACTTATGATTCTTTCAAATATATACAATAACCATGATTTCACTATATACGCCTTCATGTACACAATTGTTTCTAAGAAGTGATGCACACAAAAATATATATGGATAGTGTTTTCAAATGTATACAATCACAATGGATTAAGCTTTGTATTCCTGGATGTATAACAATTGGTTATGAGAAATGATGTACATGCAAACATATACGGGTTTTCGCACATATAACTTTAGCGAATACTTAAGAAACCAATACAATGAGCAGAAACACAATAAGCTAAAAACGAACACAAAACTGAGTCAAAACACACAAAAAACAAAGGTAATGCATAATTATGGCTAATGACACAGCTGGGTCACTTTATGCCAAATGTCCCAGCCATTTTGGCAACCATCTCAAATGTATTCGAAAAACTCGTGCTGCATTGAAAGTAGTGAACTTCTGGAATATTTAGGAGAGGAAAAATATTTGGTCACGTGGCTGCCCTCTGAACTTCCTGGAATGCCGTCTAGGTGTTGTATGTGAAAAAGTTTATTTTAAAAGCACCGCTCCTTCTTTCCATACGAAACTTGGTCTACCTGTTACATAGCAAGAGCTTAATTTGGGAGAGTTGGTTCATCGTGGTTGTGTGCTAGTCACAGCGCGACAACTTTACGAAGAGACAGAAAGGACAGGAACGAGCACCGACTGTCAACTGAATTTAATGAATGTGCTACGAGCGCTTTTATACGGAGTACAAGAACCGTGTTCATGCGCGACGACACGTGTGAGCACTAAAGAATAATCTTAACTGTGAAAAGAATACTCCCTCTCGGAAAGGATAAGTGAACGTGTAGTGATGCACTGATCATTGGTTTACCTGATAAAAAATACTTCTACAAATGTTAAATTGGCATTAAGTAAACCTATTCTCTTGACGAATGGGGCAAGATTGACTATTCCTGTTGCTGTTTAGTACACACACTTTTGAAAGCTTGCAAGGGGTGGAAAAGAACACGCTAATATCATATCTGCTGGCTATTTTTTTAATTGTGAGACACATGATGTGGTATAACATGCAAAGGTTTTGGTCATTGTTTTTTGTTGGTCCTGTCATCTTTAACTTTACTTTCTGCAGGAGGGTTTTGCAAACGGGTGTGATGATTCTGTTGGGATACCCAGCATCTTTTAGTCTTTTAATCTGGTTTTTAAACCTGACCTCACCCTTGTGCTAACTTGACTTCTGAAGGGTGGCCTGAGTACATGTGGTATCAATTCCTCTTTCTACTAATTTTGAATGCCCACTATGAAAAGGTAGAACATTCTTAGCACTCCTGGGCTGATAGCACCAGCCAATACCCCAACAGCATCACCACACTTGTTTGCGAAACCCTCCTGTAGAAACTAAAGTTAAAGGAAACAGGACCAAAAGAAAAAGAGAATGACCAATCACCTTTGCATGTCACACGGTACTACGTACATAAGGTGTCTCAGAATTTTAGGAACAGAGCCAGCAGATATGACATTGTTGTTTTCTACCCCTTGCAAGCTTTCAAAAGTGCATGTACTTACAGCAACAGGAATAGTCAATCTTGCACCATTCGTCGCTAGAATAGGTTTACTGAATGCCAATCTAATGTGTATGAGATACCGCTAACACGTGGAAAAGTAAACATAGGACAAACTGGGCAATGCTTCAATGACCAAGCAAGACAGCATGCTTTAAATGTTAAGAAGGGCTATAGTAGTCTCATGGCCGGGCACCGTAAAGAATGTAAGTGTAGTCCTAGGTTTCATAAAACACGGTTTTTGAAAAAAAAAGCAAGCAGAAAAATGAGAGATTTTAGAGCTCTTTATCAGGAAGGCCAAGGATCAAATCATCAGTACACCTTCACTTATCTTTTCCGAAAAAGAGTATTCTTTTCTCGGTTAAAATTATTTTGTCATGGTCACACATGTGTTGTTGCAGATAAGCCCTGGTCTTGTGCTCAGTATAAAAACGCTCGTAGCACCTTCAATAAAATTCAGTTGACAGCGCCCTTTCCTGTCCTTTTTGCGATATGATCTTTATTACAGAAAAAATTTTATTTTCTTACAATTTAGGTATAATGATGAGTTTTCATTGTATCACAACATGGAGCAAATTGCATCTCAATACGGACAAAAATCACAATTTTGTGAAATTCGTGATATTTTCTCGTATATTTCAGCAGCTTGAGAAGTCTTAAGATATTTTTTACTCATAATATACCTTCTGTGGAGTAAGTATTCACTGCTCAGATATTCATACAAAGTGCA